AATGAGGTGAGTTCGGGGCGTGGTGTTTGTTCTCAAACCTAGTTATAAAACTTAATTTATTGCACACAATTTCTTTAGATTTTTATATCTTATGTTAATCATTTGGTTGAGTTTAAACCACACATGCAAACTAAAGGAATAAAGGAATCTATAAAGAAATTAAAATAAAATAAATCCGCTCTGCTTTTTAAACTTGGACTTCTGCTTCATCTACTGTATGTCATTAGCCTTTAGGTTTAGAATATAACAGTGTAAATAATTTGCAAATTACACAATACAATATATTTACACCTCACTTTTTAATTTGAAGTATTGTTGGAGTTGTTCACTTTTGAACTTTTATCATTATCTCTACAAACTGTTCAAATAAGCATCAATTAAGAGATTTTAGTTTACTTTAATTTGTATGTATTTCCAAGGGGTTGAAAATATTTTTTCATCTGTCTGACGTATTTATTTGTACATTTTTTGAATAATCCTTTGCAATACTCAACCGCTTGAAGATTAATTATTAAGATACTGCAGGGCTCTCTGGGTCCTCTATAAAGGAGTCTCTGAACCTTTCTCCACTCAACTAAACCCTCATTTTAGAAAGTTCTCACACTTTTGGTTGCTGAAATAGACAAACTGGAGTCCAGACACAGTCATGCTAACATGAAAATTCATCTATGAATAAGACAAAACATTTTCTATTTATTCAGAGTTTGCCTGTCACTCATAGTTTAGTTGGAAAAGAATCAATGTGTCTTTTCTATGTCTGTAGATGCAGACAGTACCAGTTTGTGGCAGTAAATTAGAGGCTTTGATAGCCCACTTTAATGTGTTAAAACAGTGCACTAATAGGTGTAATAGGATGTAGAGACAACCTACGATTGACGCCCAATTTTTTACAGCATTTGGACCCCCTAACTGTTTGAAATAAACAGTTCTCAGTGTCTTCATGGTTGTGTTTTTGTTACCTTTCAAATTAGCCATTTTTATCTACAGGGTGAGCTGGTCCTCTTCTGAGGAGGCCACTGTGTTGAACCACCATGTTTCTACAGTAGACAATACAAACACTGCCTATAAATAGAACATTTTGCATTTTTTACAGCCTCCTTCACATCTGGAAGGGGAGGGTGAGGCGAGCTGTTTACAATCCGCAACTACACCGCTAGATGCAACTAAATCCTACACACTGATCCTTTAATTACATTTTATTCCCTTGTGTTTATTCTGATTGTGACGACTATTAACTAATTAATTACATACGTCATACAGAGTGTTGCTTTGGCCTGTAGGGTGACAGTGAGCAGATAAATCCAGAATCAATCTCACTGAACTGTCCACCAAGTCCAGTATGAAGCTATACTGACCTTTGACCTCGTTGTGATTTAGAAAAAAAGGCCACGAAACCATCAACATATTTTCATGAGTAACCTTCATAACAGTTTAACTTTTTTTTCTTGCGGGCTTTTATTGCCTTTATGATAGTGACACTGGAGAGAACAGAAAAGGGCAGAGAGAGGGGATACACGCAGCAAAGTGCCGCAGGTCGGATCGAACCCTTCGCGCGCAGCAAGACTCATCCTCGGTACATGGGTCGCCAGCTCTACGCACTGAGCTAATTGGGCACCCCAGTTTAACTATTTTAATGGAAACGAAAACAAAACCACAACTTTTTTAATCGTATATTGAGTTTTTCATTTAATTGCTGCAACATGGTGAATCATTTAGTCTTTGGGCTTTTCCATGACTTACACAGAGAACCTGTATGAAACCGAATATGCATATTAGGCAATCGTACTGTTAAATACCTCCTTCTCTGCAACCTGACTGTGTCAGATGGTTTGATGGCCTGATGGTTCACACAATGATTTTTAATGATTCCTTTGTCAGTACTACTGCCTGTCCAGCAGGTGGAGCTCTCTATCAGGAGACCAAAATTGGCATCCGTTGCAAATTTTCGTTCCTGAGAATAAAAAAAAAACACAACCTGTAGATGAAAACACTTTAGAATCTCGACAAAACCTGTGCAAAAATGCCCATACAGGTGATTTTTGAGCTGTCATTGATGTGTTCAACAATCAAATATAGCCTGAATGTTTTAATAAACACAAACTATGTAATGATATAAACTAAAGAATGACAAATCTGCAAAATTATAGTGTTGAGAAATTAATTTTGGCACTTGAGCCTAAAGGGGAGGACACCACAACAGCTGTACAATATGATGTAATCTAATATACACGTTGCAGTCAGGCCTCAGAAATTACTGCAGAATTGAATCAATAAACTCTCTGACCATGACAACCATGGACTGCACCTGTAACATCACTCATACATTTCTAAAACTGTGATTTAAAGCCTGGATTTTGGGTTAACTGCTCCATCTTTGTAGTAAGTGGAGTCTGACAAACCAATTTTGGGTAAAAGCTGCAGCCATCACTGCTGAGTGTGACTGGCTGAGCAGCACACAGGCTAAAGTACAGTACATACTAGAGACAATTGGGGGGAAACATATTGACTTCTTATTTCAAAAGGAAATCTTGAACTTGAAAAGCTCTATATGGAGCTAAAGTATATGTGGCCCTCAGTAATTAATATTTCTACAGGTTTCCCCACTGTGAGGTTAGTACAGTAGGACAATTGTTAACCTAGAAATTGACCTCACTTTTACCTCTGTTCACATGGACACTGCAGTTTGCAGGTGGGTTTTTTCCAGGTGTCCACAGCTGGAGAGAGCTCACTGAAATTCCAACAGGATTATTTTATTAAGAAACTGAGACCCAGAGTTCCCAGATTTGCTCCTGCAGCTGGAACAAATGTTTCATGACCAACTGTAAACCAGTGACTCTCAGGAGCCACCTATGGCAAATTGCTGTATGTTTGAAATGGAAACTTCCCTGAACTTCCCTGTAGAGCCCAGCAGGCTGCAGATTTTCTTTTTGTCGCGTGAGAACTGTGAATAAGCAGGACTAATGCTTTTGTATGGAAGCCAGAATTACGAGAAAATTACTGGAGTTCAGCTTTTAATCGAAGAAAGTAATAAAGATGCAAGCTAAATGTTTTGTTCATACAATAAAGATAAGCTGATGATCTGCATGATGTTCAAAATGAAGTTCTCTGCTTGTTGCTTCTCTTTGAAGAACGGCAAGATATTTTATGGTTTATTACCAACTGCCTTTGTTATTTGTGTCTTTATATTAGTTAGCTGAGCAAGTGTGTTTGAAATGGAAATTGGATGTCTTGGAGCCCAGGGGCATTGCTTAAAAATAACCCACTGGTTTCCAAGATGGCGCTAGGTTGTTAAAAAAAATCTTCTGACTGCTGTATAAAAGTACATTTGATTTGATTTCATGAATTTTCATCTTCCGTCTTTTACCCAAGTTTGACCGATTGTGTTTATTGGACCCAAACTGCAAACTGTACGTTAGCTGTGAGCTAGCTATGTTCCTCCATTCTGTCTCCTTTTTCCTCTCGTGTGCGTTCATGAAGCAGATTCACAAACAGGTACAAATTCTTCGCTTAAGTTGAAACTTTTTTAACTCGTGCAGACACATCTTTCATGTTAATAAGCGCTGCCTCTGGTAAATTCACATCTTTCCATTGATTTTGTATGCAACCGCATCTAAAACTGACTTCATGTTCTCCCTAAGCATGCAGTAAGTGTGTCATTATGATGGAAATCTTACGTGTAAAGGGGCCCTGCAAAGTTTTTATGAGTATATCTCCATTACAGTTGTTTTAGAATTAATTTACAGAATAAATGGATTTAAATAGTCAGAACAACTAATAATACACGTAATAAAAACATCAAAAACTCACTTAATAGCAAAGCAAAGAAGACAGGTAACAATGTGGACACGTTTGTCAGGACTCAAAGACACAATTTGCTTTGCTGACTAAAAATTAACACAAACAGAAACTTTGTTTGTTTACAAGAAAACTCCAGGGGGCAACTTTAAATTTCAACGTATAAATTTAGGTTTTGAGTTGGTGTATTTCCCCTGAAATCGGCATGCTGAAGGACAAAATAAAATCTCGAAAAATATTATTCACTTGAGTACATTAATTTAATTTATAGTTAGGAGTTTGGGCAAATGTATAAGATTACAATGAGGAAAAATAAATCATTGTTGCCAGCTCTTTGTATTACTTTCGTACAGACACATTAATGTTGTGTGTCTGCGCTATTAATGACTGATTTTTAGTTTTAATGAAGGTGAATGTCAGAACTGCTCTATAAAATGTGTTTATTGTTGTGTATGAACTGTGCAAAAAAGATAGGTCACAATGGAAGTAGCATGTGGTTTATCTTTTAAACATGATTATCAATTATCACTTTAAAACACTGTGATCAAGTAAACAGGTAGAAACACTGGTGCCATTAAACTAAGGCGTTGTACATCGGTCTCTTCAGAAGAAGAGGCAGCTTTATTGGCAAGTGCTCTGCAGATTGTAAACAAATAGTGCAAAGAAATAAATATTAATATGTAAATTAAGATTTAAAGTACTTAATATACATGAAATGGGTGGTTATGTACAGTATATACATCTCTTTATACAGTGGGCTATATACAGCATGCAGGATATATGAATGGAAGTACATGTTAGAGCACAGTGTGTTTTTTAAACTGTAAGTATATAATTTGTAGGTAAGTGAATGTTTACAGGGTTATTGACTGTTGACATGACAATAACACAGAAGGGTTTGTTTTAGCTGTAATAAAGGTGTACTTGTTTGATAATAATATAGGCTATGAAATATTAGGCTTCAGTTTTGATGAATAACTTATGTTATTTCACCTTTTTTCTTTTGGTAAGCGTCCCCAGGCTGCAGACTACATGGACATTTGCATTGAGTGAGTGTAATCCGGTGAAAAAGACATCCGTCCTTTGGAGAGGCGAATAAAGGCAGCAGAGAGGCGACTTTTAGAAAACTCGGAGGGGGGGAGAGGAGAGGGGGAGGGAATTAGAAGTCAAATTAGTAAGAGTAAAAGAGGGGGAGTCTAATGAAACCGGAGAGAGAAGTGTGGGGATAACCACCAACCCTTCACAGGAAGACAGAAAAGAGGCAGAGAAAGGAAAAAGGCTGAACTGTGCCTGCGAGTCAAAACAGCGGCGACAAACTTTAATCCTCAATTTCTCCACCCAGTGAGCAACAAAAAGGAAACATTTCAAGCATTTTTTCCTCTCAGAAGAAGTCACACAACTCCAGTAAGTAAATGGGATTCCCCTTAAATAGTCACTGTGATTGTGCTGTAAGTTAATAAGTGTAGTATTAGCTGTAATAACGTGCGTAAAGTGTCTGCATGATGCGGAAGCAGGACCAGATGTGGATCTATGCTCACACGTGGCATGAAACTGAAAACTTTGGATACAAAAGGCTTCTGTACACAGTCTGTATTAAACCCGCCAAAATGTGAAGTGAGAAATAATAATCATTGTGTGTGTGTGTGTGT